GTGTCCTTTGATTAAGTTCAAACTGTGACAATTTTGCACGGTAACTTGGAAAAATGATTGTGGACCAAACACAGCAAAACATACTCTGTTGAACCACTGTCTTTTTAACATAAAACAGGAAATTATCACACAGAATATACTGTTGTTATATACACACATAATCCTAAACGCTAGGTGGATGGTTGGGAATGTGACAAACTGGACGAGGGATGGTAAAAAAAATACTTTTGCCATTTTTTTCCTTCATATTTTCTACAAAGGTGCAGCAAAGTAGGAGGTCAGATACTAAAGGTATCTCACAGTGCTTTCTGTGCTGTTGGGCTTATATCAGAATTTCTTCACAGAACACTAGTCTTTCCAAGAAAAGGCCTAGCCTCCTGTGAGCAGATCCACACAAAGGCTTAGCTTAAGTTGTCATTTAACTTTACAGGTTTGTGTACGTCCCAGACAGCATCCCAGATTACAAAAGAAGGTGCTGAAAAACTAGGGGAGAAATTAGAATTCTGTACTTATGGGAGAACAAGATGGTAGAAATGCAGCACTTAAACAGTAACATAAACCCCCAAACCAAAGTTTACCTGTCCCTTCTTCCTTGAGCCACACAATCCAGCTCACTATTGGCTTAAAATTTTGCTCTAGAAATAAAGAACTAAGTATTGTAAAACTGAAATGTTAGCCAAGAGGGAATTCATTGGTATAAAGAGATGGACCTGCTCTGTACAGCCAGTAACTCTTTATCTCATCAGGTCTGCTCTGTGAGATCTACAGTATGTCAGGGACAACATGAAAAGACCAATCAATCTGGCGTGTGGAACTTTATCTTCGGTGCCAGATTCAACCAATTCTCATCATTTTATATTTTAAATATAACACTGTAGTCCTTTACAGAGGTTCATGCAGCAACTGTTGTATAATAACCAAAAATAAAATCAAAACACCACTAGAAATAATATTACCAGTGTAAAGACTGCAGGTCTCATCTGGAAGGGATTAAAAATACTTTCTGTTTACTTCACTATTTCCACCAAGGATCAGAAGTGTGCTCTCTCTTGTGTGGCTAAATATTTCCTTCACGACAGTGAGATGTAGTTTGTTGTTAACATTGGCAGAGCCCACTATGAACATGTGAAGAAGGAATCATTGCAGTATCGTGCTTTTCTAATAACCCATAAAACAATTATCATCTAGGATCAATGATCGAGAGAGAGTTCTAACAGAAACCAATCCTTAGCTCCAGTTTGAGATACCCACTCTGGACTTTCTCTAAAGACACAATTACAAGCATCGCCCCTCTAAACCTTCAAATGGACTTCCGAGTAAGATTAAACTACACATAACTACACATAAAAATGCAAATAATGCAATATGGAGAACATAATTCATGCGTCCTACAGTTTATCTGAAAGACAGTCTAGTTAATCCTGGAAAAGATGTGTCAATCGTCTTCTTTAACTTGAAATAGTCCAATGAAATAGTCCAAAGAGGTCTCTCACCACTAAAAATAAGACAGTTATAAGTACAACACTGATTACCTTTTGAAAATAGCAGAATGTGCCAACATTAGCTAGTGCCAACTGCAGGATTAGGTCATTTATGTGTATATTGTTCTTGGCTTTTTTTCACAGATCAAACATGTCTCAATAATTCTGAAGAATACCATACTTGCACTTCACAGTAATTAAAATTCAGAACCATAAATATTACAAAAGGTATTATAAAGAGCTGCACAGAGAAAAGTCTCCTTCTTAGACATTGAAAACAGATCGAATCCATGTAAAAACTGTACTTAAAATTAGTCTCAACAGGTGGCACTGTTACATAACCAAATCCTGCCTGTATAGGACTGGTATTTCAGGATTAAAAAAGCATTTATTATCTAATAGAAAACAAACAAGATCAAGATTAACTCCCCTTCTGGCTTCTGATGAATCTGGTATATGCTTTAAAATCAGTCACAATACTATAAATTTGCTGTTTGGAAATATAAAATTTGAGTTCTGATCCCAACTGAGTCCTCACATTTATTTAGAGAGGGTCAACAGCCCATTTTTAAATGTTGATAATAAATGATATAAAACTAACTAGAGTTCCTTTAAGGGATTATAACATCTCATAATCTAAATAAGCAAATCAGTAAGTAAATCAAAGTAAACCCCCCGATGCAACACAGATCAGTGATTTTAGATTCACAAACAGAGCACATACCAAACCTAACCAGTCCGTCATATCCTATATCACCAGTAGGAGTGAGATCTTAGTTTAAATGTAAGGAAAAAAATCGAGATGGTTAGATAGGAGGGTAGGGGTGTGGCAGTCAGGTCTAATGAAGGATACGAACACCGGAAACAGACAACTTATTTTCATTTCCAACACTAATTAGTGCACCAGCTGTCCACTAAGTACCACGCATTATTCTTCAGAAAGCCAGCCACTTCACCTAATATACAACTGCTTTGTACATATAGTGTTCTACTCCAAATTTTTTAAATGCCACTCACACTCTTGGGATACCCAGTGGAATTTTCTCTCTTCAGTCAGCGAATGGAATAAAAAGAAACCATCAAATTGTGATCTCAAGAAAACAAAGAATAAAAGATCCTCTGGCTAATTTGACAGAATTCCAGAAACAAACTGTTTTTCTATTTGCATAATTAAAGCAAAGACGATCAGCATATTTATGAAGCCATAAAATGCAAATATGGATTTCAAACGCAAATCAGGTTACTGAATGTTGTGCTTCTATTACAGAAGATTATTCAGGCAGTCCTGAATAAATAAAATCATTCTGCATTTACCAGTACACTGTGCTACAATTTAATCTATTATCAGACAGTCACTAACTGCTGATGAGGGTCATCTCAACCCAGACACTATTCAGGAAGCATCAATACACATGTAAAGTGGGACAACACTTTGGACTGAATGCCAGTCCATCACAGCACACATGATTACACACACAAGCTCACAGCAGCAAGGGAGTTTGTATGTTCTCCCCGTCTTTGCATGGGTTTACAGCAGGTGCTCCGCTTTCCTCCCACAAAACATACCGGTAGGTTAACTGGCTTTTGGGAATATCTGCCCAGGTGTGAGTGTGTGCGTGTCTGTGTCTGTGTGCTATCCCTCGCACCCATTGCTTGCTGGGATGGGCTCCTGCCGCCCCATGACCCTGTATTGGATAAAGTGTTTAGAAAACGAATGAATAGATAATAATGATGATGCTGATGATGTTGCTGTATTACAGTCTTTAAAATCAATACCTTACCAACTGTAGTTAATGAATGGTGTACCCTTGTTGATCATTCAAAAGTGATTTTTAAAAAAACGTTGCGCACAACAGAGAAGTGCTCCTGTTTTAGCTTTAATACAAAATCTTTTCACTTGTTGGCGACAGTCAGGTTTGCAAGCCAACAGGTAAGATGGGCTGAAAGGCCTCCTCACATTCGTAACCTTGTAATCTAAGGAATTTTGAATTCCTTAAGATTCTTAAGTGCCCTCTTAAGAGTGAGGTGAGAGGCAACAAAGCTGTTTCCTCCCCTTGCAGCTGGGACACACTTACATGAGCAGGTTTCCAGGAGCTGACATGGACCTCTCCTCTCTCCTGCTGTGGCACTCAAACGGGTTCCCGAACGATCGCTTCCTCAGCATCGCCTTCACCAGAATCTACGTCACAAGACACGTACAGGACACTCACCGTTACACAGAGCTTGCCTCTAACACAGAGAGCCCATGGAGAAGATCCATGAAACAAACATCCCCACTCTTTCATTTCAAAATACGACTTACGTTTTAATACACAATACACACTCCATATATGAAAAGCAACTTTCAGCACAGGTGGTTAGATTAGATGTGGGTTCGATGTGTGTCATGTCATCTTGTGACATTTACAGTAGATTTGCTCTCCACTGGCAAGGGGCCTGAATCCTTTTTCCCCATTTCTAATGGCTGAATGCATTCCTAACTGCCTCTCAGTCTCTTGCTGACAGTGCATCTTGGATAGGATCTCAGCCCAACTTGTATTCATTAAATGGATTCCTAGGACTGAGGCACATACAACAGACAGCTCATTATTTATTAAGCAGCGATGGGAACGGCGCCTTACTGAAATAAATATATAAATGTTAACATTTAAAATAACAAAAGGCAAGGTTCCAGGAGGAGCTTTCCAGTCCTCACAGAAACAGGAGCAGAAGAGGTTCCTGAAACAGGATGCCAAGCAGCGTGAAGGGTAGTGCTCGCTCCGAGTATGGTGAGGGCTTCTAACAAGGCATGCTAGATTCATTTTGCTTTATTTATTAAAATGGGACACTGTCCAATTCAAGCTGTGCACTAAAATGTTGATGGATTTAGCATTGAATCTAAAATACATTGGTTTTCAAGAGGCAGCGAAATAGGAAACACTGAAGTTTGTCTTTTAATTCCGACACTCTGTTGCCATGGAACCACGTTTAACATGAGTGAAACCATCCTTGCTTTAACATCAGGTAACCTTGCCAGGAAAACGCAGAGCTTCATCTAGGCGCACACTGCATCAGTTTATGAAAGGCGGTGAAACTCTTGTGAGCGTGGAGGGGGCAGTGTGTGGACCTCTTACCACTGCAGACAGGCTGGGGATGAGCTTGACAGAGTTCTTTACTTCTTCCTCCGTCACCTCCACCACAGTGCAGTGCTCCTCCTCTCTGGGCAGGGGCTCAGTGTTGCCGCGGGTCACCCAGTGGTGCAGCTGCAAAGAAAGCGCAGACACCTGCTACCGAGCGCCAACAGAACAACACTGGGGAGCTTTTTTGAAATAAGCGCTATCATTTGGATGGAAGATGAGAGATGCCTGAAAGAAACCAAGCAAAACTAAAGTGCACCAGGCATATCTGGACGTCCCTGGTTAATAATACCTTCCTGGTAAGGGCTTTCTGTTCTTCTTCTGCCGTGCCTTTGGTGGGACAGATTCTGAGAATCCTGTTATCAAGATGATTTAAGGGCTCTTCACTGCAGCATTGTGGCTACGACTAAACATGAGCCTTACCAACATGTGGAGATATTTAATAGAAAACAAACAGAAATGGCTGTTTTAAATCCCAAATAAACAGAGCCTGACATGTCAAAAAAGCTTACCCTTGAACATTCAAGATTTTGGGGGGGTTAATATATACCATTCACAAGCTAGAGGCATGAAAATCAGTCCTAATCATGCTGTCAATATCAGAAAAATGTAGGCCTATAGCAAAAGGCAGCAATGCTCGAGCCAGCAAGTTCTTCCATACCTTTATTTCAGGAATGCTTATCCGAGTGTCTGGATTTTTGTCCAGCATTCGCAGGATGAGGTCCTTCAGCTCCTCACCGATAGCTGGCCTGTGAATAGAATGGAACATTGACCCAACAAAACATCGATAAAGGTCACCACCCCCACTAAAACCAAACACGTGGAATGAGGTAGACAGATACTTGAACTGGCAGTAAGAAGGGCCTGTGAGGACTGAAAATTAATGAAAAGATTCTGGAATACTGAGAGGATGGAAAGTGAGCTCATGGGTGGAAAAACATCACTCTGTTTCTGTAGGGGTTTTCCAGCACTATGTGCCCTTATTTTACCTCTCTTTGAGTGTTTTCACTACATGGCCTGCATCTGATGTCTGCAGTGTTTATGAAAACACTTGCTGCCGTTTCTAACTGTTTCTAATTTTGTTCGTTGTGCAGGTTTAGACTTCTCTAGAATTAGCAGCTTTTTTTCCTTTCTGAGTTGTGTTTATCTTAAACAACCAGCTTTTCTTAAGGCAAGACAGTTTTATTTGGGGTGTATAGTAACATAATGTATAGAAATGAAAATTCCCCCAAGAAACAATGTCTACTGCCTTTCGGGATTACGTAAATTTCCAAACTGGACTTTTGCAGAATTTGCAGAAGAATAAAAACTCACACAACTTTAAGATCTTGGTTTTCAGCTGTTAAAAGCTCAGCATTGAAAATTGACTCACGTTTCAGGAAACACCACAGATTTAGTCCTGATCTTGTTGTGCAATGCCAGGATGTATTCATCTATAAAAGGACACTAAAAATAAAAAGAACATAACCTAAGAAAAAGCAGAATTCTTTCCAAAATAAAATCCATTACTTTAAACAGCTGCTTCATACAATCAAAAAACACACAGAGAGTTCCCACATTTTGCATCAATGTAGCAATGTCTCTTTCCAATGTTGGTAACATCTATATCATTGTTGTAATTTCTTTATTTTTTAAATCAACACTATAGATAAGAAAAAATAATCTCAAATTACATGCTATGGAAACCTAAAAATAGCAAGGGCTGTATTTTTTATTTTAGTCGGTTCATTCCAAGTAGGAAACATTGGTAAATTTGCAATATACAGTATCAGTCCTGTGGATACATCTATATAAATCTTGCTATTAAAGTAAACATTCAAGTTCTGCCACAGATCTTAATGATAAGTGCTCTTTGTAGTAGGAAAGGAAATTAGTGTGGTGGACAAACAGCTCCTTACTGTGCTCAAGTTTGGAGTACATACTGTATGTTCTCAGCAAAGCGGGCAAATTAAGTCTCGCAGTAGCAAAAACATCAGCATGGATCACTTGCCTTCCCAAACACGAAACAGTAGAGAGTCACTCCCATGGCCCACACATCCAGAGCCTGAAAAACACGAATGCCTGGTAAGCAAATGAGGTACAATCCATAAAAATAATCTATAACAGCAGTAATGCGAGACAACAGAGTCCTGTAGTGGTATGAAAGAAACACAGGAGACCTGGATATATCAGAAGGATACCACCTCCGACTGCGCAGTTCCCCGTCACCAAATTGGGGAAATGTTTTGGAAATTCAGGTTCACAAGGAAGAGTGCAACCTACGGGTTGGTTTCCTTGGAGGTCTCCCAGGCCCAACCTTGCTTAGCTTCCGAGATGTGATGGGAAATTGGTACAAGTTGGTAATGCTGCTCTAAAGCCTCTGTGACCCTCAGCAAGAACTAGAGGCTTTAAGATCACAGATAGATTCTCCACATATACTTCAAACACTTACTGCAAGGGTCACCTGGGGCAGGAACATGGAACACTTGGATAGTTAAAAAAAATCCCACAGGAACCTACTGTATAGATTACATTCCTTGTCCTGCTTCAGTCCAAAACATAAAGAAGCATTCCGATGGAGTAACACACAATGGTCTGTTCAAGGCTTTGAATCAGGAACGGACTGCTTTCTGGGCCACTGAGAGACTCTGGTGCCATACTGTGTAAAGACGTCAGCCCTTCTTGCATTTCTTAATGGTCTTTCAGTCTGCTCCTTGCCTTTTATACTCCACCCAGGCAGCTGCTTGAAGAGAGCTGCTGCCATTTTGATTGATGGAGTGTGCCGAAGCAATCCTCAGGCAGGAATTAACCTCTCGATCCTCCATCTAATAACAGAGTGGGCTACCTACTGAGAAACCCCAATCCAGCTACGCTCTGCACCAAGTCATTTTCTAATATGCGAAAAACAAAAATAAATCAGTGGTAAGGCATTTCGGCCAAAGAATTTTCTGCAGCTAAAAAAACTGAACGATACTGTTTTTAATCAGATTTTCTGAAGCAATGCTACTCATTATTTCTAAAAGAAAAAGTGTGTTGCCTGACAGTGAGATGGGTACCACAGGATACTGTGAAGACTAATTATTGGAGAACAGTAACAAACATGAAATGGATGATCTTTCAGTGGTCATGTAAGGAAAAATAATCTCTAACACCGTGGGTTCTCAATCGTGTTCATGGGGACCCACACACCTGCTAATTACTGTTCTACCTGATCACTATATTAAATAATTGAATTATTTGTTTTCAGTTCCTAAACATGTACAGTAGGAGGCTGCTTTTTAACTATTGCATTTCATAAGTAAAGTAACCTGCAAACGTTCCAACCAAGTAACCTATTGGTTTGAAATTCAATTCATTTAAGTAAAGAATTCAGCTGCACTGAAAACAAGCAGGTGTTGGGATTGTTAGGACAAGGATTGGGAACCCCTGTTTAAACAGCCACTTGCTGTTTAAGGAATATAAAAGGTTTTCTTTGACAATAACACTTCAGACATACTGCCCCTTTATTAAGCCTAATCTTAATAATTTCCCCGGGGACAATATACATTCATTCACAATTTCTGAAGGCTTTGTCCCTGTTGCAATGGTATCCACTTTTTAATTCTTCAACAGCAACAACAAGAACAATATAACACAGCCTGTAGATTTAAACAACCATATATTTTAAAAAGTAAACAGCACTGCACGATTTTGAAATAACCCACGATGCCGAAATGAAAACAACCATAGCTGCAGATCATATCCTTACTGTGCAGAGCTGTGGGCAGCAGAGGGCTCATTATTGATTTGAGAGTGTGAGATTCGGTACTGCAGCTGACAGTGCAATGGTGACGGATGAGCATGCCGAACAATGTAGGGCAGCTTCCACTGCGATCAATGAGATTTTAAAACCAATCAAGTGACAGAACAGAACAGGAGAGAGAGGATAAGTGAGTCAGGTTACAGTCACAAAGAGAGAGCAAGCAGATCTACTGTATATGAGGCAGCCTAGACTGAATTTTGTCACCTCCATATTCTGTATAAGTGTTCCTGTTCCATATCAAGCTCTATGGTAGCTTTAGCTTGGGAAATCTCTTTTCCCAAATCTCCTTTTAATTTTAGGAATCAAAGGCAGCGTTTCCTTTCCCCTAGTCTCTTTGTACAGCTTTCAGTTCCTAGTCGCATCTGTGGTGCAGTGGTGGAGTTTAGCCCGGAGTTTTGCACTTGTGAGCTTTATCAGTCCCTGGCGTGTGAAGATACTTCTGCTAACGTGCCACAGCATCTCAAGGTCACAACGGACACCAACCCGACTGCACTGCCACAGCTTACCCATTTCACAGGAAGCAGCACTGTCAGAAAATTAATCATCCAATTTTTATTCAGAAAACACAACTCATGTGGCATGGAATAGGAATTTAAAACAACTGACCCAGGAAGGTTCTAGTGCAAGCAGATGTGCATAAATACTGTACTGTATATGTGGGTTATCATTTTTAGAAGGCATTAGGCTCAGCATTGTACTCATCTAGCCACATAAGACATGGTGAAAGACCCTTGAAGATGTTCATTTCTCAGTCAAAGCAGCCTAAGGATGGGATTCTATTGGGCCCCATCAGAAGAACAGTTTATCTGCTAACATCTAATAATAATTCATATTAATTTCTTGTATCAGCTGGTTACAGGGCACCTCACTTCTTATCACAGGGTCCTCAGCTCCTGTCAGGAGTGAGAGATTTTCCATGGCTCCTCAAGGCAAACGCATTCCAGGGCTGTTAGAAACTATGTATTAAATCTTTTTTTATGATCATTCATTTGGCCGACGCTTTTATCCAAAGTGACTTGCGACGCTTACAATGTTCTAGATTTTTTTTTTAACCACAGATTTCTGCCACCCCTTTAAAAAGCTGGGGTTGCCATGGCTCCCAGGGTCAACTAGAAACAGGGCCTCCACCTGGAACAAGAACTCACAAGCCTTCATTCAGGAGTCCGCAGCTCTGCCCAGACACCCCCATGGCTGACCCCTTTCAAACAGGCAACTTCAATTATTGCACAATGTATTTAGTTTTACTGCTTGTTCAGGAATTACATCAAGACAAATACTGCACTGTCTCTAAGGCTGCTCCAGCTGTTCTGGCAGCAGTGCCAGCCTGGGTCTAGCTGATAGTGGGGCTGTAGGTATGTGCCATGACCTGCTAACAAGTATCTCCCCCTCAACAGATAGCTAAACCCCTCGTAATTCACAGCCAGAATCAAGAGGAGCCACTTAAGCCACACTGAGAGCAACAGTTTCAGTGTAGCACAAGTAGTCTTTTCAAATCACACTTTTCAAAACCAATTAGAGTGAAAGAAGAATCCATCCTGTATTACAGTATAGTCAAGTTTTTCTACCTCACATCAGGGGTTGACTTTTCATGCAAGCTGTGAGTCCACTCACTATTAAAACTCTGCAAGCTCATTGGGTTTCCAGGTGCCCCGGCTTCCTCCCACAGTCTCACAGTCCCACACTTCCAGGCATGCTGGAAGGTTAATTGTCTTCTGGGAAAATATTGCCCTGCTGTGCATGCGTGCATGTTTGTATCTAAGTCTGCCCTGTGACGGACTGGTGTCCCATCCAGGATGTATCCTGCCTTGCACCCACTACTCCAACTTTCCTGCAACCCTCTGCAGGATAAAGTGGTTAGAAAACGGATGGATGGATATTCATTTCTTTCACACATTGCTCATCATGTGAAGAATTTGTTTCTGAATTATTTGATTTAAAGTAAGGCTTCCCCCCACGAGCAATGTTTGCAAATTAATCAATCTTTTGTTACACAAGATCTTTTTAAACCAATTGTGCATCCAGCTCAATATATTGTTTTCACTAATTTACATCAGAAAGTACAGAATCTCAACAACTTTGGGTGTACATTCTTCTAGCTTTTTTTTCCCCAATATGCTCATCTCTCATCTGATGAAGTTGATTTAGTTGGACTTCTCTTAAATGTATGTATGTGTGACTTCATATTGAAAGGCAGTGACTCCTGTTGTGTTGATTTGCTCCATGAAGTTAAAAATAGTAAGACACCTATATAATAATTTCATGATGCAAAAACAAGGTGGATCTCTTAGGTTTCCAAAGTCAATTCATTACACTGCAAACCTGCAGCACGGTCTCAAATCATGCTTAAGTATTGTCACCGATTCCATGTGACTGTTACCATAGCAATCTTACCAGGGCTGTTTCAGCACCGAGGTTACAACGGTAGAAATGATGTTTTTATTTGTACAAGAAAAGGAACAGGACTTATAAAGGACTCACTGGAAGCAAGCTAGCTTGAGTGCTTGAGTTACTGCTCCCCTGGTCATGCGAAAAAAAGAGACCAGCAGGCAAATGAAATTAAAAATGAAAAAAACAGAACTTCTACTTCCTTTTTCTTGGTACTTTGTTCTCTCTCATTGTGTAATGTACTGAATGTAAAATATCTATACAAAGGTTTAACACTACATATAACAAAACTCAGTTACCATGTAAGAATGCTATTAATGCAAGTTCAACACCAGGAATTCTGTCTAGGTCTGACAAACTACAGTATATTCTCTGTTTTGAGCTCCCTGCACTGGCTTCCTGTTGAATGTTGTACAAGATAATGCTCTTGATTTCAAAGACCCTCACACTTCCCTTGTATTTCTGTTCACCTGAAAATGCACACCCCTAGCTACACTTTGTGAGGCAGAGCCTTCTGCTATGCATCTCGGCTGTGTAACACTTCCCTGTGAGATCAGGAATTTGGAGTTTTCTTTCATCATCTTTCAATTTCACAAATTACAGTACTTGTCTTAACTGGCATTCATACAGAGTGTATAATGTGTGTTATCTGCTATATGTTGATGTTTGATTCTTTTGTCTCTGTTTTACAGATTTTAAGGTACGGTGCTTTACATTTTTTGTGAATGTCGCTTTATCTAAAAAGAACTGAAGATGGGTTTCAGAAATTTAAGTTTGTTCACGAGTGAATGTTTTTCCTGTCTGTTCTTTAAGATATGATTTGCCACCACTCCCAGAAGCACAGCACATATGTACTATTCAAAGTGCCCAGTATGTCTCAAAAATCACAAAACTAGTTTCTTAATGAAAGGTGAGCAACTATCTCCTGGGTTACAGAAACATCCAAGCCGTGTATCAGCTGGTGCTCTTTCATCAAGGGTTTAACCCTGCTGGATCTAAAGAAGCAGAGGCCCTCTTGCCTTCCCACTGAAGCTCTTGCGGTGATCTGTGAGGGTCTCTGGAGCCATGAACGCTGGGGTCCCTGCCGTGCTGGACAGCAATGCATCATTCCCCTCAAACTGGTTACTGACTCCAAAATCGGCAATCTTCACGTGCCCATCATCTCCAAGGAGAAGGTTGGAGGGCTTGATATCCCTGTGGACGATCTTCTGGTAGTGCACTGAGAGGAAGAACACACATACTCCATATTAACTTTGACACAGCAGGACCAATTTACACTCCTCTCTTCCTGCAGGTCTAAAGACGTATTTAAGATCCAAACAAGTTAAGACCTGGCCAAAGGAACATTATCATTTCTTTGCAAAACCAGTTGAACCCTGTATCCACACACGGGGAGAAGGAGGAAGTGAAGGCAGCCACTGGCCTTTTAACATGTGATGAGGAACAAGATATCCCTGTGTAGGAGGTTCAGCACGAACAGCTCCCTGACAGCCCCGCAGAAGGCCACAGGGGGTGCTGCGTTTCCTGGATGACTACTTGGAGGCTCACCGTCATTTGCATGCAATCATTGGGGAATTCCCAGTCACAGCCAGCTAGTGACACAGGCTTGAACCCATGATCATCGAGCTCAATCTGCGCTTGGGGCGAGCACCCGTACTAGTTAAAACACTAGAGAGTCACCGTTGTGATCTATTTAAGAAATAACTGGCTCAAGAAAGTAATTATGAGGTCAGCTATAAAAAGAAAACTTGCAGGATTCAAAGGCTGGAGCTGAGGTCTCTCAGGTCGGGTTGTTCTAACACAAGAAAACAGTTTTTCCATGTGCAGATATTCTGGAAAACATACACCAGTAATCTTACCAAACGTTTTCTTTATCCTTAACAGAAAAGCCTTCCTGGTCTTAGAGAACGGTACAGAGCAGTTAAACAGGCACTGTTTTGAAACAGTTTTAAAAACACACAGGGCTCAACTCATTGTTTTAGGTCAGTACAAGATTCCTTTCAACAAGATCAACAAAATTTATAATCCCTTTAACTAATACTTTTATAATACAAATACATGTTAAAACACCCAGACTTCCATCCAAGTTTATTTCCTTTAGGTTACAACATGCTACAAATTAGCATTTAACTGACACACATTGAATTATTCATTTTACACATGGACCACTGAGCAACAGTTAACCTTTACAGTAAATTGATCAAAACCGGCTGGAACAGATCGTAGCTGACGCTTTTGTTGAAAAGACAACTCTCTGTGAGCACAGAATAAACTGGGGCTCTTGCCTGGATGAATAGCTGTTTTCAGTGAAAACAAAGCTGCAAACCGGAAAGCTGTTTCCTACGATCGTCTCCAAAGTCTTCTGAAGTGGGTTTGCAATGTGGCAGGATAATCCTGCTGACAGCTGATTTGGTAATGCTATGCTAATAAAATTCAGCTGCGTCTCGCTAATATGCCCGATAAGTTGTAAACATTTTCCTTGGAGTTTACAAGACTGTAAACACCTACTATATCTCATTCAATCTTCTGTCCCACTCTCCTATTGCATTTACATGGAATAACTATACTTTAACTGCAGCTTGGCAATAAAACCCTAAAGTGAAGAAGAAGGGATTTTTAGACAGGCTTCATCAACGGTTTTTGACAGGAATTTCTACAAGATGTGAGTGTTCACACATCATTTAGAGTCTATGATGAACTGCATGTGTAGAGTTCTTCCCCACTTTGTACTTCTTTTGTGTAAATATAGTACATTACACTTCAGAGAAGAGTCCCTGTTATTCAACCTACAGGAGGATTTAGTGAGAAACAGAGATGTCATCATTACATGTTAAAATCTCTCTGGTTGTAAATGGCCTTGTAGAAGGATCTTACATACTGTATAGCATTGAACTCAAGACCCAAGAGCTGTGAGGCAGCAGTGCTACCTGCCTGAATGCTGCCAAGGGTCACAGCCACATTGTATATGTACAGGCATTTTAAGGACGTGTTTATCTGAGGTGCAGGGCCATAGAAAGAATGATACAGTGTGAACCCTGTGATAACATGACTCATTGTAGAAGCTTTCAAGATACCACTTGCTGCAAATGGGCTCCTTTGAAAACTGAAAAGAAAAGCAGCTTGATCGACTCACAGTATTCAATGCCCAGGACGATGTCTCTGAAGTAGATCCTGGCCTGCTCTTCAGTTAAAGGGCTCTCTGTTGGTACCTCCATCACTGGGCTGAAATCCAAGATAGACAAGATAACAGCCCAAAGGCATGGAAAGTGAAGAATAAGGACAAATCTGCCCGCTAAACACCACTGAACTGAAGCCAAGACATATCTGCATTCTGTCGATGTCTGGAAGAAATGGATACATCACAGACATGGGTTTTTTGTGTCTCAGGCACTCTGGAAATGTTCCAGTTCACACAGTGACGAGAGTTTTCTTAGCGAAAAAACTATTCTGAAGAATTGGTCAGAGCATGCAATTTCTTTTTCTTGTGTTTGATAAGGAAATGTATAAGATATGTTTCTCCACCTTTTTTCTTCTTCTTACAGTCTTTAATTAAAATCCAGTAATCCAATTCATTTGAATGTTTGGTGCCAAATTCTATCCCTCAGTCACCTTCACCAATTAACTTCTCTGCTTATTTTACTATTAATTCACATTGTTTCCGACAGAATGCTCAATGGTAAATGAAATATGCAGGCTATCAAAACAAATTGTCAAATGACAATTCAGCAACATAATATTACGTATTACATAAGCCAAAAGCAAAACTTTTGATTTATTGAATGCTATTAGGGAAGCACAGTTTAATTGTTTAGAAAAAGGACATACTCACCCTTTTCTCATCAGTTCAAATGCTGAAAAAGAAAAAAAGCTCACATTACAATTTCATGGAAAATAACAGTGTGACCAACATTTTCTCAGTCTATTAACTAAAATACACAAGGTATTTAAATGTGTCAAACTAAAACAGCTTTTGTTTTCCAGTAACAGATCATTTAAGGATACAAAAGCAAATATTTGTAGGCTGGTAATGACATCAGTGTGCAATGCAATTCTCCTTCAATTGACATAAACCCTTCTTTCAATGAATTCATTTTTTTGTCTGATGCTTTCACCTAAAACGACTAATATTTGACTAAGTGAATTGCCTTGTTCAATGGTACAGCAGCAAGGCGTAACAGGACTGTAACCCACAAACTTGTATGAACCCAAGGCCCTAACCCCTCCTCCACACTGCTTGTTTTGACAGGCTCAGTAAAGCTTATAGCCTGTCAAATAAAAGTAGACTAGTCACCTTGGAGAGTATCTACAAATCTCTCTCTATCTATTGGGTAAAGGCATTACAATGTAGAGACTACTTATATTCATTAAAAAAATTACAAATTGGTAAGGGATAAAAAGAAAATAGCTGGTTCTGAGCTTGTACACATACAGTCTGTAGGACAGCTGTAGCACCTTGGATTTCTTGTTTTAGAACTCATGATAAATTTGTACACCTGGTTATTCTGTTACCTTTCTTACCAGGATAATTTGAAATGCACATCTACTTCATGAAAAAATCAGAGTAACTTCTTACAGATATAATCCTTTTGTCATGGCTAATCCATGATTGACCCATAACTAACCCATGATATAACACATGAAAGTACAGTGAGCATCTTGGAGGTTTTGTTTCCAATATATAAGCTGTTGGAGTGAAGGATCATCGTTTACCAAAATGGGAAAAAACACCAGTCATTGCTGAACTCAACACTGTGCTGAAACTCATCCAGTTTGCATTTTTACCAAATAGTTAAAGTATCAGACAGCACAAATAGAGATGTTCACTAACCCATATGCAGGTTATCTTCAGAAGGGTCATCAAGCACCTGGAACAGAAGATGAAAACATCCAGTAAAACAGAAGCTTTAACCATGATGAGCTCACAATGACTTCAAATCAATTGTAATGGTTCAAATTAATTTTAATACTATTAAAACCTATGATGATCATAAGATGTAACAATTTTAATTATTGCTAACATACAGAATACCCTTTTAAACATAGAATATTGACGTTAAATTATGCACCACTTTCTCTGCTTTCAGGACTTTGAATGACGTGCTCATCCCCAAATGATATGGAAGCATATGGGGTTTAAGGTATTAACGCTGGCAGGAAATCCAACGGAAGTCCACTTTGCGAATTTCATCATGCCGGCAATTTGCACTGCCTTAAAGACATCACTCAAGCCCCTCTCTGCACTCTCTGCAGGCCTATGGATGACTTAATGACTTTCTGATTACGTCACAGACTGTCCACTATTGAGGAAACCACTAATGAGGCCACAAGAGGAACTTATGGGCAATTTCTCATTTTCAGTCAAATGTCTTAAAGTTCTGCTCCAGAAAAGCATGATTGTTTTTTTTTTTTAACTCTGCAGGACATGTTCTTTTCTTCATTATCAACTGCTGTTTCCTACTTTCTCTGTTTCTCTGTGGTCAGGCCTTGTTGCCTTTCAATGGGCAATGCACAGTTTTAAAAGTTTTTACTTTTAGTGCCTTTCATTATTTCTGATTTTGACATGTTTTATGCCTAGGCCCCCGGTGACGTATTAATTGATTTGCAAGCCATATGGCAATCTTGAAGGTTGCAAGGAGAGTGCAAACTATAAGGTTAGTCCAATGAAAGCTTGTCCAGGTAGGTGCAGTGGCAGGGAGCCAAATGGATCTCCAAGGTAGCCAGGATGGGCAAAAGTTGGGACAAAATCCTGTAAGAATCGGTTCCAGCACAAAGAATTTGCGAGAGCCCTAGCTGGCCTCCACTGAACAGGAGGATCGGCCCCTCAAATTGAAATACTTGGAGGCAGACTGCTCGTGGATCAGCTATAATCACAGATCTGATCTGCCATGTATTCCAGATTGCCAGCTACAGACCTCCATAACATCGGACCACACAGGCTACATCAGAACCGCCATGCACTGGCGTGAGCCTTGTAAATAAAAAGATCAAAAAGAACACAAAAAGGTCACAAAGAAGAGGAGGCCAATTGGCATATCAACAGTAGCTCCTTTGGTAGTTAGAAGCGAACTGATCTCAGGATCTCACCCAGCTGTTTCATGAAAGGGGGGGATCAGCTTCAGCAGCCTAGCTGGGGAAGCTTGTTCCATACTCTGACAACCCTCTTCATAAAAATCCCCCCCCAGGTCTTGATTTTAAATACACTTCTAAAACATAAGAAAGTTTACAATTATATACAAACGATCAGCTTCCAGAAATAGAATTGAAGCAGATTGAAGCGGCCTTTGAACACCAATGTTCAGGAGGAGGTGTGGGATGAAAGCACTTGAAACTAGAAAATGTAACCTAAATGCCTAAAGAGACAGTATAATGCTTTATAGCAAAAATGCAGGCTTTCTGAAAGCCAGTTTGAAACACTTCATTGCATGAGTACTGAAGCATGTGCTAATGTAGTGCGAAAAAAACTTTGCAATGTGAACAAATTAAGTTCCGTAATTGTTTCGAGATTTCTCTTGTGTAAAGCAACCTTCCCACACCGCACAGAGGACCTGCTTATCATGAGTTGGTTGGGACCTAAAAGCTGTGCTAATCTGTGATAAGAGTGAGGTCTGATAAGACACCTCAGATCAGAGGAGAGGAACTCGGCAGGAAAGAAAGATAAAGGATTTGCCTCACATGACTTGATGAACTCATCTTCCTTAATGTTTCAGCAATGCAGTGAAAATTGTCAAAACAGTTATCTATTACATTTTATTTTCCCTTTAGCCTCAAAATTAGACAAGAAGACCACAATCTATCAGAGTAGTGCACCAATGGACTAATAAACCTGCCAGTTAATGACCAGGACACAGTGTGGCTCCACTAGCTATGTACAAAGCACACAAATATTTCTGACAACATCACATTTATACACACCCTTTTCAAAGGCACAGAATAACCTCTACATTTTTAGATTTTTCCAAAATAAAAGATTTCCAGAACATCTACAGGGTCATTACTAATATTGCAAACTTCATGACCTTTTTGAGTTTTGGGAAATAAAAGCACAGCTCCTTTAAGCTCATAAAGAGCTGATTAACAGTCTTTAGCAGAGGCTTCTTGCTTAAAATGGATTACATGATCTAAAGAATGTTGCTTAAAGCAGCTTTCTCAAGTATTGGCTCATGTGCGCAAAAAAACATGTGTCTCATAGTCCCTGAAGCCAGAGTTCATAAACCTGCCAAGGATTCAGCCTGGCACGCATTTGTGTCCTAAAGAAATACCACACTCGCATATGAACGGGATTACTTCAGTAAATTTTGTAACCATATAGGATTAACCCTCTACATAGCAGCATAACCCATAAAATCAGATGTCCTCATCTTTGCTCAGAAAACTCACTGACTCAGCCTGTTACCCTATAACATGTTATTTCAAATGCTATATTTTCTTGTCACTATTTTTTCATCTTGTTTTTGCAAAGGCTCCCTGCATCCTGCATATTAGTTTGAACACCACACACTTGGAAAAATCACTTAACCTTCATACGAGCCTTGGACAGAAGTAAACAAGAAAAAAAAACCTACCAGATCTTAGCAATCATGTTGTGCTAACCTCATTTATGCAACAGATATTTCTATTAACTGTTCCATGCAGAACACCTCCTTAAGGAAAGTATGGTCTCAAAAATCTGATATTCACTCAGGTATGTGCAATAGTAATCAGCAAATAAATCCAAAACACCACTTTGTCAAGTTACAATAGCCATCCATAAGACTTTTATTTTCACTGTGATGGTATTCTTTCCCCTGTTGATGAATTTCCTCCCGGACAGAAATCAATTTTGCTGCCCTCTCAGTGTCACTATCTTCTATCTGACTTCTTCACCAGTGGAAACTCCCAGGATCCAGCTGGAGGGGCAGTGAGCGAGGCACAGCTCAGGCTTAAGGGGGGGGGGGGTGTCTCTTTCCTACCTCCACCAGCTTGACGATGTTGACATGGTCCAGCTTCTTCAGGATGGCGATTTCCTGGTACACCCTCTCCAAGGGGCCCAGAGCCTTGGGCTGCTCCCCTTGTGCAGCCTTCGCTCCGCGGGGTGGGGGACGACCTGAAAGCACACCCCAAAAAAACTGCATTGGGACACTGTACTGCGTGACACTACAGCAGCCAACTTCTAATGCGTCCTCTGAGCTTCAAGAGATGCATACAATAATGGTCATACAAGGTATTCAAAGTTTGATTGTGAACTGAATTCCATTTTAACTTATTGTAAGGATGCACTTGGCAAGAATATACTGCAATCGATGTAGTGATGGAGTCTGTAACTGGGGAGTTAACCAGCTTTAATAAGAAAAAAAAGGTTTGGTCTAATTTATAACTCAGAGCTAAGAAAAAACAGAAGGATGGTGCTTTCCAATACACTGAAAAAACATTTTTGAATGACTCTACAGTGAGGTTTGTGCCACAGTGGTCAAAGGCTGCATACAAGGTGGCTCCCAGTTCAAATCTTCGGGTTTCAGATGAAATGGAAAAAGCTAAGTCTTGTTGTTAGTGACTCTGCCTGCAGCTATTTTTGGGGAGTACTTCACCCCCTTTGGACAGAAATGTCAAATAATTCTAACAGTTATTATCTATATTTTGTCAAGACTTTGCTGGGATATCTAAAGTTGCCTCGACATAACTATGCATTTAAACACTCAGGGGTTCACTACAATAGATTTTTAAGAACTTAAAAAGTCTACTTGGGGAGGAGGTGTGCTTCCAACATGTGAGAAACCTTGACTCAGTCCTATATTTCCAGGGAAAAGTGGAAGAGGGAAGTTTTCCCTCTGAACACAGCGAATACGCCCTGGAATTTCACTTTAAAAAAATAATCTGATATCACCTACGTGGAAATCCATACTGCTTCATGAGCTTCTTCTTAGAAACAACTTTCATCGCCTGGGGAAAAAATATAAAATATAGATAAAAGGAGCACAAATGGAAATAAGGCAAGCACTTTCCATAAAAGCCTTGTGGATTTCTTCGTTACTACTGAGTGAGCAGGGAAATGTAATTGCTGAGGCACTAATTAGGAAGAAACCCTCCAATGAGCTGAAGCTGCTGTTGAATTTGTTTTTGCTTGCGAGACGGGAACGTGCGGGACAAGAGAACAGACTGCTCTTTCACACTCCCAGGACACAAGAGGAAATGGAGGCAGTTGGGCTGATGCTACATCTGGTACACAGCTTCCAGCCTCATGCAGCAGACTACAGTATGCCGGAGCCACCCTCCTGCGCTCAGGGAGAAATAAACAGGGCCCCCAGGAGGACAGGCAGGCAGCAACTCCCAACTGGCAATCCTCTGAAGCTCAGCAGGTGTGAGCCTGGCCAGTACCTGGATGAGAGACCTCCTGGGAAAGCTAAGGCTGTTGCTGGAAGAGGAGTTAGGGCTCACCCTGCGGTCTGTGTGGGTCCTATTGCCCCAGTATAGTGATGGGGACTCTATACTGTAGGAAAGGTGTCATCTTTCAGATGAGAAATAAAACAGAGGTCCTTACAAATCCCTTGTGGTCATTACAAATCCTAGGGCGTCTCTCAAAAAGAGTAGAGGTGTTACTCTGGTGTCCTGGCCAAATTTCCCCTTGGCTTCTACCAATCACGATGATGAGTTACTACTTACTTCCTGCCTCTAGTATATTTAAGTATCCTTACTGTATATATGTAAGGTTCTATATTTATTAAAACTACTGTAGTTTTGATTGATTTCATGTCAAGTATAATATCACCACCCAAAACATTTTGTCATAAAACTACCAAATATTTTAGGCACAGCAGTAATTATTTTCTTTTGGTAATTTGCTAATTACAGATTGCCAATTCGTTGCACCAAAAAGAGCTACTAATGCAAAAGAGGAATTAACCTCCGGAACTAATATGGAAACTCTCCAAGAGCTGGTTCTCGGATGATCACCTCTGCTCTGAGGCTTCTCATCAGTGCACTCATCTGAGAGGCTGTTGGAGGCTCTCCAACAAGATTAGGCCGCGAAAAAACTGCATAAATGTCCTCCCTTCTTCTCCTGCTCTAGTGTCAAAGACCTGGCTTTCTTCACAGGAGTGATATAAATGCATGCAGATCAGAACACCATCCTCGTGGCTGCTGAATTGTGTGGCAAAGCAATATAAGACTTAGATTACAATTCTGGAAAAAAAGCACTACCAGTTCACAGTACAGTTTTTCAGTTTTTTATACATGAATACTACTACGACTAGTGACATTTCATGGCACTAGTCTGAGTACAAGCCCACTTGTACTTGAAAATTTAACTTTGACTTCATTTTTCATCGTTGAAGAAGATGTTTTAGTTTCAGTTTAGTTCGGAATAAATCTTTTACCCATAAAATTACAAAAGATGTCAGAATCATCACAGGCTGTATGGATCGTATGTGAAAGCAACGTATAAAAGACACTAAACTGTTTTTGCACAAAGGTTTACACATAAAAAAGGTTGATTCCTCCCTTCCACCCCCTTATATGAATGCCTGTAACAAAGGTTTCCTTATTCAAGCTGGGGCATTAGAAAATAATGAGCTGTTTCTCCCATGCACCTGCAGAACCTATTTTTAATTAACAGAATGAAGAATAAAGTCCGGGAGCAGTTTAACCATCCCTTTTAAAATGTATATATGCTATAGAGCAAAAGAGACAGAATACATAAATGGAAAATCTAAAAAAACAGGTTTCCATTTGAGGCAATATTTCTTAAAAATAAGGCTAGGGCTCTTGACTCCAGACAGCCTTAATTCTTCATGAAATATTAGCACTAAGGAAAGGAAAAAAGCCAGCAGGGGCTCATGATTTTTAAAGATGTTCCTTTCTGCGAAGCATGCAAGAGCGATTGGCAAGAATAACAGTCTTAAGAGAGTTTGGGTTCCAGAAGCCACTGAGGGGAATCACAATGGAAAACGCCCCATGTCCACAGAAGTCCAACGTGCCATCACGTGGCATCACATAGGACAGATGCTACTGTATTCCCGGAGGGGCTCTGAAGTCTTAAAGGAATGTGGACTTCAGAAAGAACAGGAGAACGGGACAGCTTGCCTGATGTGAGAGGCACATTTCTAATGTTTACATTAAAAAAAGGTTTGGCTGCTATGCAGGATGATAGAGAAAGGGCTGGAAAAAACACTTAACACTCGAGTACACATATGTTGCTGTTACTAGGCTACACCATCACTTCAAAAGCCAAAGAAACCATAGCATATAGCAATAGAAAGGCAGTGGGAATAGCCTGTAAAGAGGAAGAGAAGACATCAGATTAACCAGTTCAGTAGCCCATTTCCTACCGTTAATATTACCTTTTGAGTTGGTATTTACAGTGGTTGGTTATTTTTTAATCTTGTGAAGGCCAACTGATGCTTATAACTCAGCAACTGCATTTGACATTGAAGATGTTTTATGGAGCGATAGTACTGAGTTTGTGCGTCTCTGTGAATGCACAGTATGCGAGGCATGCTGCACATAAAACCCATTTTTCCAATGAAAACCTATCAAACTGATAAATGGTAAGGTTTAGGAATCAATTTACTTATATATGTATTTCTTTATGGCCAACATCCATATGTCAAGGCAAGGAATCACACAAACGAAAGATCAGTAAGTATAAGGAATGATAATGTTGCCTTCGAACAGCCTTATAGAGTAAATGCCAAAAGTAATTTGTTTTCTATAATGACCACCAGCACTGCTATTCTAATTATCTATTTCTAGTAAAGCTATTATTATTTCCAAATAGGTTCCTCCTGATTTATTGGATGCAAACATAAAAATATCTTTTTGCCTACTTAAAATCCAGTAGGCCCGGAAACTTCAACACCGTTTTGGCATCTCTTTAGGGATTGAAAAAATGCAACAGGACTGAGTGGGTTACAGGGGAGTGAGTTATCGTTTTCTGCAATGACCTCGCTGCCCTGGCGGAGTGGGTGGTATCCAAAAAAATAAAGCCAGAGTTTTCCTTATTGGATCTGCAGCAATCCCACAAACACACATCTCATATCTGTGCCTGTGGTTGTGTTATTCCTGACCCTGGGCACAGTTGAGCATTGGTCTGAAGTACGTTGCATTGTTTCTGAAATCAAAGCACTGAATACTCAGTAGCAAGGACTGCCTTCTGTGTCACTGGTGAGTGTATGTGCGTGCATATGAAGTCATACCAGTGTGCGAATATAAGTAATTACTCTTCTCCAGCTCCACGTTTATTCTACCTGAGAGGACAGGCTAGGCTCTTTTGTTAAAACATGCTTTGAAAGACCCTGAAAAGCAGAATAACATGCAATTTATTGCAGCATTAGAAGCTGTGTTCCTCGTGAGCAGCAACAGATGGGGGAGAGAGGTGACAGTACATCTCTCATTTTGCTTAATTATTAAGTATAAACATCGCCACAGCCACACAGTGAAGAATGGCAGTTTTCTGAGTACTGTGTACCTTTACCATTTCTGCACAGCTCACCAGACAAAAAAAAAAAACATGAGTCATGCAATTAACATTTCAAGGCAAACCAAGCTATGTCCTGGAGAGGCGTAAATGATTAATCGTTTTTATTGAGTAAAAAATAGAAGGTTTGAAATACTATGCAATTTTTCAAGGACTTTATTTACAATGAAGATTAACTTTTTTGGTGAGCGTAGATCAAAAATAACCAATTCTGTTCAGCCAGGAGTAAGTGGATTCCAAATAGGCAAGATTGATCTAATGATTTTATTAATTGTAACACTAATAGCTATTTTAAAATGTGACAAGAAAACCAACTATATCATAAAACAGAAAATGTTGGTGGTCTTTAATGAAATATCAAATATACTTTTCCTGCAGCTTTAAATAATTCAGTTACCTCAATAATTGAATATTTAAAACTCTCAGCACAGCCTTGCTGGGGGAAGTGCAGAGAGACTGTGAAATGTCAAACTAGGAAATGGTGTGTTGTGGCCAATGCGTTTTTCCTTTCAAGGAAACACAAACTGTTAAAAGAAAATCCTCTGCTAGCGTCCCTTCTAACACTGCAGTGCAGGAGCTCCAGAAACTGGGACTGCTCTATCCACACAGCAGCTTGCCTCAGTCACTGTGTCTGCTGTGTCTGAGGAGCACAGCAGGGCTTCACAGGATGTTTTGGATTTGCGTGTCAAGCAGATCACAGGAGGAACTGTGATGTGGGAGAGCCTGCCAAGCATGAATCTATAAAAACAAAAAGTCACCAGCGCGTAAAATCTCCGAATGCAGATGGAGTACTTACATAATATTTGTCATCGTCTTCATTGTATGCTAATTTGACCACGCCGTAGGAGCCCTGGGACAGAAACGAAACCAGGACAGGAAGTTAAAAATTCAGGTTCAGCTCAGATGTGACCAGCCATGTACTGGGGGCATTACTGCAGCAGCACAAGCCTGGCTCTTTATGGAGCCTGACGTGACAATTTTTGATATGATCCTGTATCTTCTGCACAGTGCTTCCTACCGTCTGAAACTCAGAGGGGAAAAACACTCACACTGCACATCTCATTACTTTTCCTGAGCTTGAACCTGTACATTTATCCTCAGCACCCATACTGCATCTATTCAGTCTTCTCACTGCTGCATGGAGTTATCCAATTATTCTGCAATATCGCCCAAGGGCTCAGGGCATGCACAGCGGCCGTACAAGCAGCGTGAATATGCTCAACATGGCTCATCAGAAAGTTCCATACTGCTCTGAAGATTTAGCACGTCTCCAAAACTATCAGTTCCATGCAATATAGAAACATGAGCAACAGAGTTTTTCACCAGAATTGCTTTCAGAAATTTATGTTCATCCATCTTGGCACCATCTTAACTTTAAATCAGCTCTAACTAATTTTCTAAGACCATGCCTAAGAAAAATCTCATAATCTTTTCATGATTTCTTGATAAACATGACTTAATTTCAGCTTCCATTATTACTTTAAAGAAAATGGGTAAAATTTGCCCTGGATAAAAATGCTTTGGAATATCACCCTGTATAGAAGCCACTCAATCTGTTAACATCTTAGGACTGATATCCATCCTGAAATATACAGCACCTGTGAGCGGGGAAGAATGCAACAACTAGGAAAAAACATATTTTGTGTCCATCCACACAGACCTGTCAGGATATTTTAAATTTAAAAGTTAAAGGGGAACCACAGTTTTTCACATCACTCATTAAATCTTGGTAATAAAATAAATTAATTGGTGGTATCGCAAACATTTTACAATTTATCATTTAAAAGTGCAAAATCGTGAACTTTGTGAAAGTACTGTATGCTTGCCATGTTGTCGGAGGCAGATGAAAAACCGCTGGTCTTGCCACAGCAAGAACGAGAGTTTGCATGAACTGTGATTCACTTGTCGCTGTAAGAGAACAAGAAATGTGGTCTCCTAATGCTAACCCTTTTTTGCCTTTTTGAACTCGCATATATACAGTATTTTAAACAATATTTGGCTGTTCAGAGCATAGTGATCATACACAAAACAGAGGATAGGATCAGCAGAAACTCAAACTGTTCCATTTTCCAAGTTTCTCGACGAAATTCAGTGTGGTGTACGATCAAATAAGTATAGGTTGTGTAGCACACATTTCACCCCAGAAACGTCTGAATGTGATCTGCATGCTGTGTTAACAAGTAGTATTTCTAGACAAAACGGTCTTAAGGTCAGTATGTTGAATTCAATTCAATTTCAATCATTCATAGGTGATTACATGCTTAACTGGCATGGAAAATCTATATACTTCTAGAAAAAATATCAAAGCAGTAGCACCCACCTTTCCAATTTCACTTTTCAGCTTGTACTGGTTCAACTGTATACAATCCTGTAAAATGAAAAAAAATAGCAGTTCTGTTAGGATCATATGCTAAAGTGCCATAACTTGTAGTAACGGAACGACGGACGTATTTTTCTAACCTGTTAGTCAAATTTCAGTGGACAAACAGATGCAGAAAATCAAAACAACCCACAATAACAATGTGAGAGTAAGTGGATTCTTAAGGATAAGGAAACTGTGGTTCAAGCATCGTTTTAAGCATGTAATGGTTTTCAGCATCTTTGCAACACAGAATATGTTTTTGAAGCCAAGCCCTGGAAGTGATGCAGCACTGACACCAACTCTTTTCCATTCAGCAGTCAGGTACCAGCATCCCTTCATCACCTTCTCTCAAAACAACGCTCTTTAGAGCATTGCACCCCAAACTCTCCATCTCACCCTACTGACCACATACTTATCTATACTCCATTTTCCACGTCTGCACTTAAGGAACCTACATCTCCACATTGGGAATATTAAAAAAAATCTCCTCATGGATGGGTAGTCAGTGAGGTGAGTTAAGCATATTTCCATCCATCCATTTCCTAAATGCTTTATCCAGTTCAGGGTCATGGGGAAGCTGGAGCTTATCCCAACAGTCAACAGGCACAAGGTGGGATGAAGCTTGGACAGGACACCAGTCCATCACAGGGCCAATGTTCTCAAAAGCCACTTAACCTACCAGCATGTCTTTGGACTGCAGGACGAAACCTGAAGCACCTGGAGCAAACGAAGAAAGAAAATACACACACATAGCACCCCAGGAATTGAACTAGGGGCCAATTTAAGCCTACAAATCCCTATTAAGCCAATACATAAATGAAATAATAATAATAATTAGGCACTGTCTAAACTACGTAAAGCTACAGAAAAACTGAAAAGCAAACAGGTTTCTTATCAATAAGTCAGAGACAATAAGCCAGATTTTGGATTTATTGATCAGACAGTGTTGGCAATATTGTGCACAAGCAGTCCAATCT